AGCGGATCATAGTTCATATTACAACAGGTGATGAGGCCAAGCGGCACACACGGTGCGGCTGAATAATATGTACATTATTTAGTGAACATAAAGGGTCCTCGATAATAGCAACTACACGGCAGCGGAACAACGTCGTAGCGGAACTCCATAGCACAGGGACACCGATGTGGACACGATCTACAATCGAACATCACTCCTTTCCAATGAGACTTTCCTGAAAGCTGGCATGACACGCCAGGTCAGTACATTGAATGTACTTGCAAGCTCACAACAAACATAAACATAATGACAAACAATATCATGATATTTAACCGATTGATTTACTAATGCAACATCATATCATACATGTCGTGATCATGCTCTTGTGATATAAGTCCCTCGGACTTGCTTACCAACGGTGATCATTCTCGGATCACAAACGGACCAACCTCGTGGTCTTTGATCGGGTTACCTCGTAACCAAACGGTGATCTTTCCGGTGATCACAACCATGACCAACACTTGGTCGCCAACATCAAGATGATTTACCCACCACCATCCTCTCAACAGTGCAAAGTTCATACCTTAGTGTGCAAAATTAATTAAACGTTGACCCATGGTGTGACCTACTTTCGAGCGTGCCCGTAACCGTGGACTCGGCTATCGATGGATTGAATACACTCTGCAGAGGTAGCGCACTGTACCCACACCATGGAACCCATGGCCTCGCACTCCCATTCGGGTGGACCGACGGCGTTCCGACGAAACCCCTCCATTACCTTAACACTCTCCCGGCCACTCCGACTCACTCCCCACTAGGCTAGTCCTGGGTGGCCCCGTGTCTACCAAAGACACCAACGGCCACCGTCGTGGCAAAACATAAACGGTCCCATGCGGGGACAAGGTACCATAACAACAACGGGCACACAAGGTTATGTCTGCTTACCGGGCTAGGGTACCGCATGCCCATAACCTTCCCTCGTTGGAGGCACTAACCAGAGGCATGACAACGGACCGAATAAAGGCCTTCCCATAAAGGCAAATGTGGTTGCACTGGGAAAACTCGATTCAGTGGCACCATGACCCGGTCAACGATATATTCAAGTGGAGTTATTATCAGGTTCAACTTAGTGAAAGTAACCGGTGTCATAATATCCATGAAATGCAGCACTAACATGTGCATCATATATCAACGGAAATAACTGGGTCAACTATATCCACACTAAGCATAAACATCAACAACTCATAACACTCCTCTAGTTATGATTAATCATCACTTTAAACAGAATCTTTACTTAGCAAATTTATCATTTTTCTCATCCAAGAAAATACTCAAAATAATTACTTATATCCATAACCATATTACTTCTTCATAACAAATATTACTTCTAGTTACTTAACCAACTTAGTTAGCTTCAAACTTCTGTAAATTAGTCATATCAACTTAAACAAGCAACCCACAGAATATAAATAATATTCTAGTGATTTAAATGCATGGATTAAACCATTAATTCAAGTTGAAAAATCACAAATATTGTAATGGCACCATGAAAATGTTGTTGTGGCTTGCCTTAGTGCAGATGAGGTTCACAACCCTCCTGGTGATCCTCAAGAAAAGCTTCACTATCTGAAAGCAATTATAAACATAAAAATAAAAGATCAAGAACCCTTCTGAAATTCACCAGAAAATCTAGGCAGCAGAGAAAATTCTCATTTTTGGTGAGCTGCTAAATTTCTTCATAAAGAACACAATGCAAAAAGAATCAATTCATTTGGACTTATGGTTAAAAAGTTTTGGCTGTTTGAAGCTCTCTGGATTGAATTGAATTTTTGAATTTAAATAAACAGAACTGGGGGTGACGTCGAAGGCGTAAAACCTCGCAGGCACCACCAATCATACCGCTTCGGGCACGTACAGAATGGCTGACTAGCGGGCCCCGCTAGTTAGGTGAGAGGGAGGGGAGGAGGGAAACAGAGAGCGGCGCGGCTCCGCCGGAGCACACACCGGCGAGGAGAGCTCCTTGGCCAGAACTAGAGGGAGGGATCGAAAGAGAAGATGGAGGCGCACCTGTCCGTACCCGTAGGTTAGCTAGGCGTGGTCGGACGGCATTGGAAACGGCCTCTCCAGCGGCGACAGAACGCAGAGGTCGCCGGAGTTGAAGACGACGGTGACTAGAGGCGACACCAGGGGCTCCAACCGGGCAGAACGGCACCACCGAGGCACGGCGGGTGCCCTGGAAGGGTGGCCCGAGCCTGGGAGGGGCTGGAGCCGCGGAGACGACCCGAGGGGATCGCCGGCGAGCTCAAGCTCAGGGACGGCGGCCCGCGGCCTGCCCCGGCCGGGCTACGGCTTTCTACGAGATCGTGGAGTGTGTGTGTGTGAGGAGTGGATGATACTCGAGGAGGCTGGGGAGGGCTCTATTTATAGCCGAGCGACAAGGGGGGGTTCGGGCTCCGCCGGAGGACAGCTAGACACGGTGCCGGGCTACGAACGGCATCAGTGAGCGAGGGGGAAGGCGACGCAGCTCACGCGGGCACTATGGGCGAGCGGAGACGAGCACAGGGGCGAGAGGGTGGCGACGAACACAGTGCGCATCGCACTGTTGCGTTCGTCGGACCGCGCCCGTGCTCGCTGCGGCAAGCTCCGGCGTCGGCGAGCGCCAGGAGGGAGTTAAGAGGGTCGGGACGATGATCGTGGCGAAGTTTGGCAAGGTTTGGCAGTCGGGGAAACGAGCACGCGCGCAACAGAGCGCTCGACGGCAGTTAGAGCGCGGCGACATGTAGGTGGCACCATGCACACGCATGGTCACCGCGTGAACTCTGACCCCAGATCGACCTAAGCCTAAACTTCATGTCTGGCGTGTAGTTCGTGGTAGATTGAGAGGTTACCATGCTTTGGTTTGAGCTCAGACGCAGTAGAATGGATTTCAACTCCCTGGTAAGTTTTTGGTCAGTAACTTTGACAGCTTACTGTGGTCAAACTACTGAGAGTTGGGAGCTGGGCTTTGGAGGTTAGCAATCATCTACTAAGGTGATGATGCACAAGAAAAATCAACCACAATAGAGCAAGTAAAATGGTAGTTGCTGTAGAAACTACCATTTCTGTCCAGAACAGAAAATATTGTCTGTAGCAAAAATATTCCAAAAAGTAATGAAATATTTTTGCTCAGTAAGATGCCCTAGGGTTCAAAGAATATTTGGGAATTTTCTAAGATTTTTGTGGGCAAGAAAAATTGGGGTTGCTTTGGAGCACATTGAGCTAGCTAGGGTTTAAGAGAGGGAAATGAATATTTCTTATTTAAGAAAAATATTCAAAAAAATATTTTGAGGTGAACCAGAGAGGAAATGATAGTTAGAGAGGGAAATGAGGCACTTGGGTGAAAGTCAAGGGGTACCCAAGTGTTTAAGTCTGTTTGAAAAGATTTCAAACTTCAAATTTCAAAACCAAACCAAATGAAAATCAGGCAAAGAGAAGAGGGCAAAAACCAGGCTGTCACAGCTCGGGGCTTGGGGCCGAGGGAGGCGTCGCCGCGCTCGGAGCGGCCACCAAGAGAGGTGAGAAGGGGTGGTATATATAGGCCTGGAATATAGCCGTTGGATATAGAGCCGTTTGAAAAGTGTCCGTTGAAAATATAGCCGTTTGAAAAGTAGCTGTTAACACTGTAATAAGTAAATTGTCGAATTACTGTTAAAATGGTAGTTGAATTGGTAGTTACAAAATAATACTAAAATATAGAAGAGAGAATATAGACGTTCTATATATAGGCGTTCTGTTGCAAAACTGAATGTGTATATGAGAGAATCCTTTTAAACCATTATCTATATGAATATATATATAGACATCTGAATATACACGTGCTATTGGAGATGCTCTAATGGGGTAGCAATGGCTGGCCGTACATCACTTTTTTCAAATATTTTGAATAGCACTACCGCTGAAGCCATTGCATTATAGAGAGGTCTTGCTTTGCTATAGGACCTTGGCTGTGCTAATATTATCCTGGAATCTGATTCACTTGAGTTAATGGAAGCATGCAAGGAACCATTGAAGTCTGGAGCCCATACACCGCAATATTGGCGGACTGTTTTTTCAAAGCCCAGGATATTGGATCAGTGAAGTTCTCGCATTGTCGAAGGGATGCTAATCGAGCGGCGCATAAATTAGCTAGGCTTTCCTATGATTCTAGAGTAGATGTGGATTGGGATGGCGATCCTCCTAGCTTTATTCTTTCGGACTTGTTGGTCGATGTAACTCTCGTTTGATTAATAAAATGCGCCCAAGGGCGTCCCTCTCAAAAAAAGAAAAAAGATTGACCAAGACACATCGTAATCGAGGGAAACCTCTCCCGCTGAACAAACATAGTCTGAAAGACTGAAATAAAATTAGAAAAATGCGAGCACAAGTGTAAGACTTGAACCCCAACTGACTAGTTCCACCACAAGGAACCTAATAACCTTGCACTTTAGTCACTGTTGGTATTGCTTCCCGGAATACCTTGCTATCAGGAGTGCAATTACCATCTCAAAAAAAGGACTGCAATTACCACAATGGAGCTCTGCTATATAGAGCAAGGAGCTCAAAACAGGTACACAGATTGCGTTTCTCTTTCATTCAGATGACCAACATTAGATTTTAGGATTCAAAATCCATTTTATTTTTTTTGCACATCCCAAAGTCCAAAATTTCACACAAAGATAATCAATGCACCAACCAAAAGCTGGCATATATCAGTTCAATTCTTGTCACCACAAGCGAATCTATTCATTCCTATTATATTCAACTGCAAGAAAGAGAAGCATCTAGGAATTTTTACGATACCATTCAAGTCTTACAAAAAATGTCAACAGATACAAGGATCTCTTCCAAGATCAAATTGGTCCAAAATGCAGGAACAGCTTACTTGGGGCGTCATTTTCAGGCAACATTTATTGGAAAAAACTTCACTCCATTGAAAGGTTGCATGAGTTGGTCACAACCAAAAACCAGCAGCTGACTCTCTGCTTGGCTAACTACGTGCATACTCAAGCAAACGCAGGGGCTGGTGTGCAACCAGTAGCAGGTGCAACTGTCTTCTGTGCAGAGCTGTACTTCTTTGTGACGAACCTAACATGTTTCATTTGTCAGTTAATGGTCATCAGCTAAATCATACTGCAGTAGCTACTAATCTGGTGTTTAGTGTTTACACACTGATGGTTAAAGTAGCTACACATCTTCCTAACATCTCGATGCAATATTTCTTTGACAGGCGATCATAAAAGGAAGCTAATAATATTATACTGTCATCTCTGTTCTCTTGATGAAACAATCACTTCAACAGACAATGCAATTTAGTGGATATCACAAGTGTAAGTACATGATATCATCATAAGTATTGAGGTTTATAAACAATAGATACCTGAAGAAATCTCTCCATAGCAATTCAAACATTAACCAATTTGTCCCAGCATCGGATGTTCCATCACCGTCCTTGGGTGTTGACCCTGATGGAATTGTTCTAGAAGAGAAAATTGCCAATTATGCACAAAAGAAATAAGACCATAACATAATGATGAGACAGAGTATGTTACTACTTTCTCCCTATACTTCTGTTAGGGTTCACAGAAACATCACATACCTAATGGCATGCTTCTTCAACTCCTCATACATGAAACGTGGAGAGAGACAACCAGTAGCAAGCCATGGTGAAATTTTGCAGGAGAAATTAGCACCATATATGCTATTCTGAGTACTATCTTTCACAGCTTTGTTTGGCTGCATACAACACTCTGCAGCAAATTTCTTCAGCCTTTCCAGGGCTTCTGCCTCACCACCAATGAGATTTGAACCAGCAGCAGATTTTGAGTCCTGAATTAACAAAGTGAAATTTCAATTTCAGAAAAACATAGCACTCAGGATGACAGATATGTTGAACTGAATGTAGGGAATTGTTGATGACAGGAGCACAAGCACAATCATTAATGGAAACATAAAAAACTACTCCCTCTGTAAACTAATATAAGAGCATTTAGATCACTACTTTAGTTATCTAAACACTCTTATATTAGTTTACGGAGGGAGTATTATGCTAGGTATACAAACATTACAGAAAGATATGGACTATAGCTCAAATAAACTGATCCTATCCTATCGTTGTTGTCACTACCACAAAACTAAGCATCTGGTGTCAGGCTGTCAGCATCAATGTCGCAGTCCACATTTTACACGTACGAATCAAGCAGACCTCAGGTTATGGGCTTAAGCTGTCATTAAATTAGTGCGACACTGGGACAACAGAGAAGCATATCACGATTGTACAGAAGCAAAGACAAAACCATTTTTTCTTTTCATGTGGTTGGTCGGACCCTACACACACGGGAGCTACATGCACTGGTGTGCCCTTTTTTTTACAATCTTGTCACCTTTTTTATGAATTTACAACAAAAAGAAGAAAAATGGTCATGCTCTCATTTTGTCGCCTACTGCTCTGAAAATGCTACCACATGCCCGGCCAAACAAGAAGCAAGCATGCAAACCCTAGCACTAACTTCATTAATATGGCCAACATGCAGCAATTATCGTATGAACCTAAATACACGAACAAGCAACCTTTCTACTCAATTCTCATTCCTTAGTGTCAAAGATGCGTTGATCCAACTTACTAACATAATCGCCTAAGAATACACTGTAATCTTTTACAACAATTCACTAGCTAAATGGTCAACATGACCAAGCAAGCTATACTTGGCTGCACCATCCAGTTCTATTTTGCACAATTCAGTGCGAGAATTATCGAACTCACAAACTTTCACCACGCAAGAGTTTGCATTGACTTATATCTTGGCAAGAAGCTGAATGTAGTGAGATTCAAATGTGTTTCGCGAGAATGAGGTGTCTCTGAAAACTTTTACCTGTGCCATGGCCGGTGGTGCGGAGAGTCCAAGCTCACCAAGCGTGGGGATGTCACCAGGTTCGAGCACATTCTTCATAGGCACACACTTGACCTCTTCTGGCGCGTCCAGCACCTTCCTAACCTCCAACCCCTTGACGGCCTCCCTGAATCCGCCATAGTTGGATGGCATGTCATCGAGCCTGAAGGGCAGATCGTCCAAGTGGTACAGCGTGCTGCCCCAGAAGTACTTAACCTCGACGCCTTCCTTCTCTATGGCCTTGCTGACCTTCTCCTCCGCGCGGCACTCGTCCCGCGACACCTCCCCATGCGCGTAGACGGCCTCTGCTCCGGCTGCACGCGCGAGCTCGGGGACCACCACCTCGGGCCTCCCAACCCGCACGACGAGGTCGCCGCCGCGCGCGCGGAGACTCCGGCGCAGGTCGGCGACGGAGTCCAGCAGGAAGCTGGCGCGGTAGGGCCCGGTGCGGTCGAAGCCCGAGGGGGACTTGCCGAAGTCGCGTGGGTCGAAGACAAAGACGGGGAGGAGGGAGGACGACGCGCCGACGGCGGCGTGGAGAGGCTCGTGGTCGTGGAGGCGCAGGTCGGCGCGGAACCAGACGAGCGTGCGGCGGCGGCCGGCGGCGCCGGGGGCGCCGGAGGGGAAGGAGCGGGAGAGGCCGGGCGAGGAGGCGGTGAGCGGGGAGA